CGCCTCTCATTCAATAGGTCCCGGGTTCGAATCTGGATAGTAATGGAACATTTTCTTCTCCAAAATGTTCTCCTTGCACATGTCGTCTGCTTTCATCTCTACTTTCTGCCCCCACCCCTCACCTCCTTTGCCCACTCCTCTGGGGCTTTGACTCTTTCTGCAGCTTTTCTACTGTTTCTCCTTGGCTCCATCTTACTGCTGTCTTTCAGCCACACCCTTGATCTTATGGTAGGTAAGATCAATACCTAGCCTTCTCGGACAAGGGCGGAATATCTCAGAAGACCCGCGAACAAGTTGTGCACGTTAAAGATCCATTTGTGGTCCAAAACCGGTAAAAGTAAGCTTCAGCCGCCACTCGGGCAAAATTCAAAATTTCATACCAACTGAAAAATGTTTGGTGTTTCCCGCACGCTCATATGACATTATGCAGTTGTGAGCGCCGTAAAACACTTTCCAAAAAAATAAATAAAAAATAAACAAAAACAAAACAAAACAAAAAGCAGAACAAAAACAAAGAGAAAGAAGATTATCATGTCTTGCTCAAGGACACACGCCAGTGACCACACACCTGAACGCAGGGGATCTCGTGGTCTAGAGGTACGGTATTCGCCTCTCATTCTATAGGTCCTTGGTTTGAAACCTGACATCGACGGAAATTTTTCTCCCTAACATTTTCTCCTTTCTCCTTCTTTCTGCAACCTTTCTCCGTTTCTACTGCTACCCCTCTGCTCATTCTTACTGCTGTCTTTCAGTCACAGCCCTGGTCTTAGGGTAGGTAAGACTTAACCACTAGCCTTTTCAGATAAGGGCGAAAAATCTCGGAGGTTCTTTGTGCAAGTTGCACATGTTAAAGACCCATTGGTAGTCCTAAGATTGATAAGAGTAGGCTTCGGCCGCTACTCGGACAAAACTCAAAATTAGTTCCTACCAAACTGAAAATGCTAAATTAATGTGTCCCGCCCGCTCACATGACCTTATGTAGTTGCGAGCGCTGTAAAACCCTTACCAAAAAGAAAATACCACCTTAACGCCGTGTCGCTAGCATAATATGCTTGGCATCATTGTGAGTCTAATTTTACTGACATCTCGGCCACTGGGAAATCCAATAATTGTTCTTTCGTTTAAAATATTTCCGTGATCTTTGGCAACAAATCTATTGTTCTGCAGCTTTAACCAAGACTAGATCTATATTTTAGGTTCGAGGGGAAAGGAATAACAAAAGCAACATACGACTTTGCAAACGCTCTCAAACTAACGAGAAGAAAGGGAATAGAATACTCTGAAAGTGGTTATAAAATTGAAAAGGGGGATTTCAAACTCGATCCTCATCATCAGCTTCGTTCATTCTCGTTTTGAGCATAGGCTCTAACATTTCAGATGTATCAGTTAAAAAGATGATTCAGATCCTGAAAAAGGTAAACTTGTATCGAAAAGAACATTACGCATGGGTGGTTAAAGGCACTAAAAATTGTTACGATTTAATTATTATTGCTAAGTCATTTTTGAGCCAGTTTGGAATTTTTGGTTCTGAAATGTGGAGCAGAGCCAGCTTGATTGGTAATATAGTTTACTCGGGCAAAAAAAAATATCCAAACATTTTTTTGAAAAATCAATCAAGTGTAGGCCCATCAAAAATTCCAGCGTTTCACAGAGTCAATTGTTCGAAAGAAACATTTTCTTTTTTCCCTTTTCTCAAAATGACTTTAAATCACTTAAGCATTTATCTTATGGGCGTGACGAAATGCTATAATATCCCTTAGCGTTATGCCAGAACCTGGCGCCTGTAAGCAATGGCGGGTAATTCATCACACGTCAACTTCTGAGCCAAAGATGTCACCCCCAGATATCCAGGAAATGTTTGTCGCATTATATTTTGTTCTAAACTTTTAAAACAAAACCAACAAAACAGCAGAACAACAACAACAACAATAACAACAACAACAACAACAACAACAACAACAACAACAACAACAACAACAACAACAACAGCAAGAACAACATGGGGAGACCAGACGACTTCTTGGTGACGCGCTGTCTGTCTGGGGGCGGTGTGGGTTTGAGTTTGGCGTCCTTTCGTTTGACCTGCTTTTCTCTTCTTTTCTTCTTTTACCTCCTCATTTTGGCCTTGTAGTGCTTGGTATACTATTTAAGATATTTTCTCTTAGTCTCCTCATAACACTTGGGTGTATGGAAACATGGTTCTTAGGTAAAAATGACAATATTGTCTGGAGAGTATGTTGTTCTATTGTACTCTTCAGTGAATACACTGTCTGTATCAGAACCACAGGCTTGGGAGTCCATTTGGAAAAAAAAAAGTGTTCACTTGTCACAACAAATTCTTTGGACATTTTTTGCAAAGGGAGACCTGAACCAAAACTGAGCAAAACAAGTAGACTAGCACTGACTACACCAGTCCACCAACACAAAGAAATTGAAATATCTGATTGCACAAGACTCTACGATATCCCACACGCGGACGAAGGAAATATACGGGTAATGTCCTTAAATCGGGAGGCACAAATTAAGTCCCGCAACGACCAGTCACTACTGCCAAAAATCAGAACTGGTCACGTTTCTGGGCTGTGGGTCTACACAAATAGAATAGACAAAACATCAGACCCAATATATCCATAGTGCAGCGAGGAGCCCAAGATTTGGATCACTGGCCGCAGAGATGCCCCACTACGAAGGTCCGGCAGTGGCATCTCTTTGGGCAGGATTCAGGGAGGTTGGACTCCCTCCCTCACTCGCTACCCAAGAGAGGCGGTGGTCCTGGCGAAAAGCACGTTCTTCGGGGCTCCAAACAACAACAACAACAACAACAACAACAACAACAACAACAACAACAACAACAACAGCAGCAGCAACAACAACAACAAACAGCAAGAAGAAGAACAACAACAACAACAAGAACAACAGCAACAGAAAATTATTGCGCTGAAATTGTGAGAGAATTTGGCTTCTCGGTGAAGGCACCCTGTTTTGTTCTGTTTAAAAAAGACAGTCTTTTCATGGTCTTCAGTATTCACTTCCCGCAAACCTCAGGGTAACCTTTGAGTAAGATCGCCTACACTTCTACCATTCCCTGCCTTTCCCCCTTCCCCATTTCAGACAATTATTCAAGAAAGGGTCTCGTTAAGCGATAAAATCGTAATACAGTCGAACTTGCTCAAACAACCTTGTGACCAAGACCTGTACACACGACCTCTAATCACTAATTATTTAATTTATTTTTTTGGGGGGGGAGGGGGGGGGGGGTGTAAGTGTTTTACGGCGCTCGCAAATGCATAAGGTCATATGAGCGCGCGGGACACATTAAACATTTTCAGTTTGTAGGAAATTTTGAATTTTGCCTGTGCGGCGGAAGAAGCCTACTCTTATCGATTTTAGACCACCAAGGGATCTTTAACGTGCGTAACTTGTCCAAGAAGGCTAGGTGTAGATCTTTCCTACCAGAAAATCAGGGATGTGGCAGTAAAAAGGAGCCAAGGAGTAGCAGTAGAAAGAAGGGCTGCAGAGGAGGGGGCAAAGGAGGTGAGGGGGTGGTGGCAGAAAGTGGAGACGAAAGCAGACGACTGAACATTGCTAGAGAGCAGGAAAGAGGTGAAAGGAGACAATTTTAGATAAGATAATGTTTCGGTCGCTACCCGGATTCGAACCCTGGACCTTTGAATGAGAGGCGAACACCTTAACCTCTTGGCCACGAGAGCCCCGTCTAACCACTCCGCCTTCCTAGTGTTTTACCAATGTTATGACACTGTTCAAGACAACAAACTATCTAAGACGACCACCTTTTTCCTCGGCAATGGATGACTGTTTTGTTCAGGATTGACTATACAAAAATAAAACATTTGAACAATATTGAAATCCACAGGTTTTTGATGGAGTGAAAAACAAATGAAAGTTTATTTCCCTGAAAGTTATGAAAGAATATATCGATGGCTGAGCGCAAGAAATGACTATATCCACTTTTGGTCGAAATGGAGTAATTGATACGTGTAGTGAGTTTTAAGCCGCTCTTTTATCTCAGCAAAAATCTCATCTAAGCCGTAGCTTAAATTAGGTACCGAGATATGAACGTTTCTTTTTTCGTTTATGATATAGAGATTTCAATATCATCAAAAGATCAAACTCGTTTTTCTCGAAACTATGAAAAGTGGATACAGTCACTTCTTGGGCTCAGTCGTCAATATTTCCTACAAAACACCATGAGCCTAGTACATCATGAACGATGAGAACAAGATGATAGCGCACCCACCCCCCGTCCCCGTCCCCGCCCCCTCCCCCCGCCCCCGCCTTCTTCTATATGATGTCATGACAGTATCGTCGGCGCTTATTGCATTGTGAGGCAGCGTAGTGAAATCAGGCACTCGTTCAAATAATGAAATCAAAGAAACTGGAATTTTTGTGGGCTTTGGCCAATTAAAAAATATTTTTGGGGGGCTCAATACCTTTTAAAAATACATTACTGAGTGGATGTTACAGAAAAACATTGAATAAAGGCACAACAAATCTAAATCTCCAGTTGCCAAGGGCACTCAAGATTTGAAAGTCATTAAACTTTGGCGGCCACGTTTTCGCTAATTCGATCTCTCACACAAGGCGATCCTCAACTCTTTCAATCGCAACTATCTCAACTTCTATTCAAGATAGACGAGCATTTCTTCGCCAAATGCAAGACAAATGAACAAGCTTTAAGATGACATTAATAGCTCCATATGCCCCCAAATTGACGAGCGATATATTCCACCACGTCGAGATACATTTGTTTACTCACTCTACCCTTCAGGTGAGCATTTGGTGAAGGATTTCCCTGTACTTTGAACTCATGCTGTAATAAACAAATATGTTTACCGCGGAATTTGCAGCCTCCATTGACTTACAAAGGGCCCACGTCAGCATAAACAGATTGCGATATCTCCCATGAACGCTGAATTCTGTTAAAGAAACCATTATAAGCTGATTAACTGCACTAGGCAAGGAAAAAGCTAGGAATATACTTGAAATAAGAATAATCATAGAGACTAGTCTTTTGTCCCTGTTTGCCAAAGAATCCTTCTTAGCAGAGCGTGAGGTTGACTGTCTCCATTTCGATTGAAGCATAAGATTTTGAACAAGAATAATGGTACAGATGATGACGACAGAGAAAGAAACGTATTGAGGTATGATGTTGATGATAACTGCTACGTTCTCGATGAAGGCGCCATTGGGTATGTAAACCAACCCCACTTTCGTTTCATTTCTGCGAGGAAAAAACTTTGGCTCTAAACGAATCGAATAGTAGGCCGGCACGACGCCAGCGATGACGAAAAGGAATATCCCAACAAGCATGCCGATAGTTCGCCTCGGGGTTATGATCGTCTTCACTTTGAGAGGCATAGCGACACACAGACACCTCTCAAACGTGACGAAGGCTGTGATCCAACCAGTGATGCGTGTGAAACAAGTGTGGGGCCATCCTGCTGTCATGTATTCAATCTCTTCATTGTCAAAAGGCACATCAGCATCGAGAAGCCAGGGGTTAAAACAGATGCTCATCCACAAAAGTGATATTAGCCCTCCCATATCGGAGAGGGCCAGACTGAATAGGGTTATGTTAACGGTGTCCTTAAAGCCCTGCTTCCTGAAAACGATGATGTTGATTGCGTTGAAGATGATGCCGGAAAAGCTGACGGTTCCCATGACAACGACAAAGAAAACAATACTCAGAATGTTGTAAGTCTGGAAGTCCACCAACCTACCTGGGCTGGACTCAGAGGCTAATGTCCCACTTCTGTTCCTGGTAACAATCTCCAACATCTCGGGAGATCCACGTACGTCAAGGTCAGAGCCTGTCCGGTCCTAGTGCCAGAGTGTGCTTGCTCGATTGTGTGAACTGAAATAAATACAGTATAACACGGATAGATCGGGCACAGGAGACTCGAAATCACGCTTCTGTCGAATGGTACCTGCGGTCCCTTTTTTTCTTCTTCTTCTTTATCTTTGTAGGAAATCCCTCAAACTACCGAGGCCAGTTGCGACTAGTTGGAGCAATCCATGTTATACTGTATACGTGATGATGATGATGATGATGATGATGATGATGATGATGATGATGATGATGATGATTATGATGATGATGATGATGATGAAAATGTTAGGCCCATTTTCCTACTATTACTATTATACAGCGCCCATTTAATTTTTCTCTCAGTTGCTCCTGAGGAAGCCCAAGAGGTGAAACGTTGAGCTGTATCTATTAAACAAATTTTAAACATTTATATTTTCAAGTTATTTTGTCTGAACATTAAACAAGACTCTCTCTACAATGATTGTGATGATGATAAAGATGAAAATGATGATGCTGATTTCCAAGTACGCTATAGCCGTAGAAGTTATCAAATTTTGGCAGGTATTTTCTCGTTTATCAAACATCTGACACCAGACGACCCCCACCTCCTTCAAAAGCAAATATCTCGACTTAAAGGTAAATGGGTATATTTTTTTCATCACAAGCAAAAGCAAATTAACAAGCTTTGAGGTAGTACCACAAGCTCCATAGGGAGTGGGAACTCGCCAACGCATTTTTCTCCAAACATGGCACTCGCATCTGAGCTCTACATTTAAACATACATCATGGCGCTCATATGACCTTATGCAGTTGCGAGCGCCGTAAAACCCTCTACTAAAACTAAAAAAAACAACATACATCACTCGCCATGGGTGGGTAGGGCCGGCAAATTCGCTTCAGGATCACACCGAACTGTGAACTCCTTTCATGACCATTTCAGCAGTTGTCTCTACTCCCGAATTTTCGAGACAGACTGAATTTTAACAGGTGAGGTCACAACACGATGGGGCGTAATCACAAAGGCGGGGGAACTCTGTCAGAAAAAAAGCTATACATTTTAGACAGGTAAGTGGGAGGAGCAGGTAGGTAAGGGTAGATCTTGAGACTCACGATAGGATAATAAGTGAAAATGGCATGCTTCATGCCACTGTGATTGGTCATCAAGGTTTTGAACACCCTTTGCTGGCAATAAGGTATAAACCCACTCGGGGACATCGTAGAGTACAGGGAGATCATTTTAAAGATTGTGTGCCTGAACATGGGGTCACTGTGGATTCTTCCCTTGGTGCGTCGGCCAAGATCCCGTTCGCCTCACTTAGAATTATGATCGTTTCACAAAAGAAGAGTAGAGTTTTTTCGCTTTTTGGCGTATCGGAAATTCAAGTGTAATGGGATTAGTGTCAGTTAGTAGGGCGTTGGTCGTTTCATGGACAGACTGCTGGACTCGTAATCGTGAGGTTGCTTGTTCAGGCGTTCGAACCTCAGTTTCGATGTTGTGTACCTGGGAAAGACTACTGAAAAAACGAATTTTCCTCACTCAACCCTGGTGGGGATGCGTACCAGCCATGGCATGGATAGCGAAAGATTTTGTCAATATGCTAGTGTATTTAGCGCTTGTAAAAAAGCAGCCTTTACTGTTTGCTTTCCAGGAAATTGAAATTGTTTCAGAATAGTTTCATGTTTGCTGGGATAATAACTAAGATTTGAGAGCGTATAGAGTTTGCTGCTGAGCGGGAATTTGCGCTATACTAATGCTATCTTTTATTATCTATTATCCCTACTTTTTACTTTTTCTTTTTCATCCTCTGTTGCCATTAAGCGTTGAGGAGAGATATAGTTTTCTATGGTAGGCCAGCTCCGCAGCCTTTTCAATTTGGGATATTATCATTTCTCAGGGTTTCCTTGGCTCCTTCAGTCTACCTTTTGCGTGACCTTCCTCTTCCTTTATAGCCTGAGTGCTTGCTTTGTTCTATAGACTCTCGAGGCTCACTGGCTTTTGTCATCTATTATAAATTAAATTTGTTTAAATTCAACTTTATTACAGTCACAACCCCGTAAAGTTTCCGGCTGTTAGACTTAATTCTGTTTAATATGTGAGGCAGCGTGGTGGAATCAGGCTCTCGTCAAAATAATAAAAATGAAGAAACTTGCATTTTTCCGCAGGTTTGTGAATTTTTATCAATTTTTTTTGGGGCTCAACACCTTTCATGCCCATTTAAGAACTCATTTCTGTGTGGATTTTTCTGAAAAACGTAGATTAAAGGCACAAAAAAAATGTAAATTTTCTTTTACCATGGACTCTTAAGCTAAGGAAATAACTAAATTTTGGCGGCCTTTTTCTCACTAATTTTACCTCTGAAAACAGGTGACTCCAACCTCCTTCTTTCACAAATATCTCGACTTATATTCAAGATAAATGTATATTTTTTCAACCAAATAAATATAGGTGAACAAGCTTTAAGATGATACCTATAACTCTACATTCCCAAACATTGACGAGAGCCTGATTCCACCGCGCTGCGTCACATATATATACATGTTTTTACGCCCACATCGACACAGTTTACACCGTTTATGATCGGGATTTGACCCCACCTGCCTCTTATGTAAGGACAACCCGGTCTGAGACGGATACAACGTCCTGCAAAAAGACCAAGCAATTCCGTAGAAATTGTCCCCTCTCGGGAAGTGAACTCTGGTCTTCTACGAGTGACGGCTGGACGCCTAACCGCTGCACCACAGGTTCTGATGGTATGGGGCTGCGACTAAAAACCTATTATTACGTGTGTCAGTTTTTTTTAAAGTTAAGGAAAAGTGATATAAAAAATGGGCTCTTTTTAGAATTTTCCATGTGTACAACGTTTGCTGTTATAACTGTTTTCAGAGCAATTGAGGTCAATAAGATAGAGATTTGAACTGATCTGATAATCATTCCTGAGCAACCGAGATTATGTGAAGATTGCTTTTTTTTTTCAACACTATTTTTACGGAATATACAAGCAGTCTCATATCGTAAAATGTTTTACTAAAAATACTAAGGCTTCAATAATTTTCGAGTAATACAATTCAAATTTTGAATGATGTCTTTACAACCATATATTGCAGCATACTGTCATCATCTACAAAACAAAGTTTTGTCTACATGAAAACCTCATATTTCAATTAGCTTTGTTTTAGCAGCTTATTTTGTCTGCTCTATCAGAAAAGCGCACATAAATTGGCCGGGGGGGGGGGGGGGATATGAAAAGAATCACCACTAAAACTGAAAATATTATGGTTATATGACACTGAAAAAGTCCTAAGGCTTTTTCATCTTTCAAGTAATTTTTAAAAAATTGGGTAAGACTCTTGCAGTGTCCTAGATTTTGAGGTAACCGTTACGTAATACATCTCGGTTTCGATGAACGATGATTTCATCACATTCAAATATTTACCCGTTTCCCATGGACACGCTGAAAACAGTGGTAATACGAGAGACTGTGTATAATAATAATCTACAGAGATGAAAATTTCAGTAGCACGTTTCTTTAAGTATGAGTAATGTTTATTCAAAACAGCAAGTGTTCATTATTTCGTACTTTCCCAGTAACCTCCCCCTCCCCCCCCCACACACATTTTTAAGAAAGAAAATAATTTTTTTTTCCATTTTGCTTTCTTACACTCACTGCAGAAGAAAGTTTTTTTCTGTTCTTTTCTAATGTTTATGCCCCTTTTGACACATATTAGGTCATTCAAGATGTGGGCTTAGCACAAGCTCGCAAAAAAAGAACCCACAAAAACCCCCCACCCAAACTGTTTAAAGAGAGGAGAAAGAATTCTCTTTACATTCTCTTTCCTCTCAGTCATTCTGATTAAAAGTGATGTTTTTAACTGCATGCGCCGGGACAAACTCACATCAATTTCTTTCTCTCTCTCTCTCTCTCTCTCTCTCTCTCTCTCTCTCTCTCTCTCTCTCTCTCTCTCTCTCTCTCTCGCTCTCTCTCTCTTTCTGTCTCTTTTTTTCGCTCTCTTTCTCTCTCTCTTTTTCTCTCTTTCTCTCTCCCTCCTTTTCTATTTATACCTCTCCACCCTGTTTTACTCTCTCTCTTTTCCTCTCCCTCCTTCTCTATTCCTACCGCTCTCTTTCTTTCATTCTTCTCTCTCTCTCTCTCTCTCTCTCTCTCTCTCTCTCTCTCTCTCTCTCTCTCTCTCTCTCTCTCTCTATATATATATATATATATATATATATATATATATCATATAATATATATATCTTTCTCTCTCTCCTGGGCGCTACTTTGCTTTCCTGACCACGGAATAACAACAGTCAAACAACACAACCAAGACAACATTTGATTCCGAGATGCTCACAAAGTATAATATACTTGTATCCATTACAAATGCCAAACCATTTGTGTGAAATCAGGCGCTCGTCAACTAAAACAAATAGATACATTTTTTAAAAAAAGAGAAAAATAAATAGAAAAAGAAAACCCCCAACATTTTTCCGAAAGTCGGGAAATTTTGTACCCCTTTATTTTGTTTTGGTTTTCTTTTTGTTTTTGGCTTAGCACCTTTTATGTTAATTTAAAAACACATTTCTGGGTTGATTGCTCTGGAATTAAAAAAAAAAAATTGATGAAAGGCACACAAAAATACACATTCGCATTTTCAAACGCCATATTATGCAAGCCACAAAAATTGATGTGCGTCTGATTCCACCGCGTCATGCCACATTTAAATGACTCTGTACAACTCTTTTTAAAATGTTGGTAGTTTTTATAAACCGGCAGTACCTTTGTTCTGATACTACAAAGGCAGACAGTCATTTCAAATCTCTGATATTTTTTGCCTTAGGATAACTGGCTATCAGATAACAAAGGAGCTGCGGAATCAATAATGTTGTTACGTATCTTGTCTTCAGAGTTTAGCAATTCGACGAGCGGAAAGTAAACAACCCCCCCCCCAAACAAAACAAACAACAATAAAC